ATAACAGTTTTGAGGATTTTGGTGATTCAAATTCAACTTGCCTGTTCAATTTGATAGTCATTCAGATCAGAAGTCTCTCTTGAGTAAAGTCGGCTCCAGACCACACTGTCATATCCCCGAGTCGCAATGAACGGCATCTGAGGGCTGTCTTCATAGTCAGTAGAGCTTCTCATCCAAGTAGAGACTTCTCTGTTTATCCTCTCTACGCCGTATGCAACTGTGCAAGTACATAATAAGCAATGATCAATCAAATCGAAAAGGAAACACCTCCCTAATGCCAAGATGGAAATGTGGAGATAGACTGATTATCTTTACCGTGGTGAGGAAGGAGACCACCGTGGCAAAAAACCCAGTTATTAACACGCAAGATAACCCCGTGACGCGCTAATTCACATGCTAATCGACCACCTGGTCTGAAAAGAACCGACCTTGCAATCACTCCCTTTTGCCTCTGTCCTAATAGTTTTCCATCGACTTTTGGTTAACCGACAACCCAGAAAACTTCGAAAACTCAGAAAGGATACAGCAAAAATGAAGTACCTTTACTACATTCCATTGATCCCAATAGGTTTGTGAATTTCTCCTATCTTCTTTCCATTGTCTTGACTCAAAAATCCAATTCTTGAACGCTTTGTCCCAGTCTTGTGCATAGTCCTCCAAGTAGTCAAGAAAATCTGTACACTCATCAAATGCTCTCGCATCTACGTATCTGTAATCCCCCTCAACATTCATCGTCTCATGGTTCCCATTAACCTTTTAAAATTGTACATCAATTACTCTTTGTTAGTCCTATCTATTACCATTCTACAACTATTACCTCTCTTGTGTTTTCTTTTCTGGAATATATTCTTATCAATCTCAAGTGTGATAGCATCCAAACCTGGAAAACAGCTCCACCGTTAGCTTTCGCCTGATCCTCAAGTGACCTTAATAAAGAAAGTATTGCAATTTCATCATCGCCTCGATCCAGTATATCTCCTACCTGAACTAGCACCTGTATTTTTCATTTATTGATTAGCTTCACATGAGGACTTAAAAATCATAAGATATGAATCAGTATGAACCGTATCTCATCATAAACTGCTAATGGGCAAATCAAAATGAACAATTTCAAACCCGAAGGTGAACCACAAAGAGAGAGAGATAACAAATTCAGAAACAGATTGCTTTCAACACAAGCGTAGTATCATCTGCACATATATTCCTATTTTGAAGAACACAAATTCCAATTCAGACTCAGTTTCAACCGTTGAACTAATTTTGTAACAGGAACTGAAGTTATGTTCCACTAAATGTGGTAAGTGATGATAAAGACATACAGTGTCGTCGCCGATCCACTGGTCTTGTCCGTCGGAGCTTAAAACGCCGGCAATCTGAAGCGCGTCTCTGGCTTTACCCAGATCGCCGTGAAGGTCTCCAACTGTACATACCATAAGAAACCCATAAGAGCAAATACACATAAATACCAAAAAGATTGGATTTTTCTTTCAGTTTTTTTGGTGACGAACCTGCGATGATACGGCGAGCAGGAGCAGAGACGAAAGTGGGTGGATCTCCATTGATGACGATTGGTTTCAGAGTCACTTCGTTACAATTGGAAGTGCTCAAAACAGAGGAAGAAGAAGAAGGAGGTTCTAGAAGTTTCTGTGG